GGTCATAAGGTACAGGTTACCTGTGCATACAGTCAAGAATACTCTAACACCTGAAAAAGAGGTATAAACAGACTCTCAAAGGCTTTATGACACGGAGGATATATCCGCATCTCAGTGTATATACACTGCCATTCTGCTCCACAAGTAGTGGCAGAAGTGGCATAGGGGCCAGAGCCAAAAAATATCTGAAATCCACTGAGGTTGGAGCTTCCATTGCGTCTATATTTACAACTGTGCTAATAGCAGCCTTGGCCCTTCCAAGAAGGTGATTCTAGGTTACATGTTAAAATACCGTGTTAAATTAGGGGAGAGATATGGATCAGTATAGGTGACAGGGAAGAGAGTAGGTTCACCTAACTGAGGTGAGTAGGTGATGTTTGAGTGGGACAAGAGGACTAGGTATGTAAACCTGACTTCGATCACAGTTGTGTTCCAGGGGTGAGTAGGTTAAGCTTTGAGTGGACAGAGGACAGGTATGTAAACCTGACTTACGAACCAGTTGTGTTCCAGGGGTGAGTAGGTAAAGCTTTGAGTGGACCAGAGGACAGGTATGTAAACCTGACTTACGAACCAGTTGTGTTCCAGGTGTATCGACTTGCAAACAGACTGTCTGTACAGGAAACAACGATACAAAGGCTTGTCATATTTCAGACATGTTTTGGGTATTTTTACCTCGTAGTGTTTTCAGAGTGCCAGATGGTCAGACTTATATTTTAGTGCCAGATGGTCAGACTGATATTAGAGTGCAGATGGTCAGACTGCTTCTTAGAGGGCCAGTTGGTCAGATGATTTAGAGTGCCGATGGTACAGAATGATATTAGAGTTGCCAGATGGTCAGATTGATATTAGAGTGCCAGATGGTCACACTGATATCAGACACACACTACACACACACCGCACCATCAATCAGTTAACTAGCTGCAGCATTCGGGCGCCTGGCAAACTGCGGATAGCGTTCCGATCACCTCAGTAAGGGATTCGTTTAAAGACTCTGTATACCATACGTCAGGCCGCATTCTGGAGTATGCAGCACAGTTGAGACATCCACACCTAGTCAAGCACGTAAGAAATTAGAGAAGTGCCAAAGTTGCCAACAAGACTAGTCCCAGAGCTACGGGATTATCCTACGGAAGAAATGGTTGAGGGAATTCGGCCTGACGACTCTGGAGGCTGGAGGGTCAGGGGAGTCATGGAACGGACATTATAAAATACTGGGACGGAATAGGGACAAGGTGGACAAAGAAGGGTTGTTCCAGAGAAGGGACACAGACACAAGAGGTCACAATTGGAAGTGAAGACTCAGATGAATCAAAGGGATGGTTAGGAAGTATTTCTTCGTCTAGTGTAGTCAGGCGTGAATGCCGAGAAAGTGAAGTAGTGGATGCGGGAAACCTTACATAGTTTTAGGCAGGTATGATAGAGCTCATGGGCATGGGAGAGAGAGTGACCTAGTAGCAATCAGCGAAGAGCGGGGAGGAGCTGTGACTCGACCTGCAACCACAAATAGGTGAGTTACAAATAGGTGAGCACACACACCACACAACACACACACACACACCACACACACACACACACACACACACACACACACACACACACAACGTGTAACTTCACAGAGTCAACAGGTGAATTATTGACCCTGGAGAACATTAAAGGCAGACTTGACCTGACCTAAATACACCATATGTGACTGCCCGTTCCACCATTACGACTTACGTTCCACCCAACGCGTACACACAGCCCAGGCCACGCACACGCACACACACACACTCCTCACATCCATACACACACACACACACACACACCACACACACACACACCACACACACACACACCACAACACACACACACATTCAAACATACAATCAATCAAAGATCCCTCCATACATGGAGAAGCTAATATAACTCACCTACTTTTCGAAAAAAGTGCAGAGGAATAATTCCTTGAACCTTCAGCAAATAAGGTAATTAGGTAAGACCATATGCACCAGTTAGGTAATCTTTTATTTCGAATCGTTTCGTCTACATCAGTAGGCTTCTTCAGTCGAGTACAGAAAAGCTGAATATAAGCGAAGATACTTGAAGGACGATGTATCAGTCCATCACCCTAAAGTTTTGAGTGTCAGTCCCTCCGCCCCCCCCCCCCCCCCCCCCCCCCCCCCCCCCCCCCCCCCCCCCCCCCCCCAAACCCCCCCAACAACCCCCCCCCCAGTCTGGAGAAGGCATTTGTTCCATAGATGAAAACCAATATGGACTGATTTCATCGTCTCTTCATGTATCTTCTGCTTCATATCAACTTTTCTGTAATCGACTGAAGAAGCCTACTGTCTGTAGGCGAAACGTTTGCGAAATAAAGATACCTAACTGTTGCATATGTGTCTTACCTTAACTACTGTCGGTATTTTATAACATTTTATTGTTCAATACAGGTAATAATGAAACTCGTACGTTCAGATTTATTACCCCCTACGCTACTACATAACAAGAAGAAGAGAATAAAACGAGGCTGGAAATCAGTAAAACTCTGATATTGAAAAAAACTAATTGAGATTTGCAGAATATAAATTTTACGATACACATGAATCTTCAGCTGGTAGGTAGGCAGTTTAGACGTTATTCCAGCCTTAGTGTCAGACTGGGTGAGGAGTCACGGCTTTTCTCTGGCGTTATTAATGGCCAATTGATCCTTTTCATGTGGAGAACAATAATCCATTTTGGGTTTTTTTGATGACTAACAGTACTACCTTTGCTCGAAAAAGTGATTTTTTTATGATATTGACGATGGTGGCCAGAAATCTAGGTGCTGTATAAGAGGGGCCCTACAGTAGCAGGAACTTAACACTGCTGTATAAGCGGGCCCTACAGTAGCCCTAACTGCTGTATAGGGGGCCCTACAGTAGCAGGAACTTAACCTGCTGTATATGCGGGGCCCTACAGTAGCCCCTAACCTGACCTGTATAAGCGGGGCCCTACATGTAGCCAGGAACCTAACCTGCTTTATAAGCGGGGCCTACAGTAGCCAGGACTTAACCTGCTGTATAAGCGGGGCCCCCCCCCCCCCCCCCCCCCCCCCCCCCCCCCCCCCCCACCCCCCCCCACCCCACCCACCGCCCCCCCCCCACCCCCCCCCCCACTCCCCCCACCCCCCCCCCACCCCCCCCCCCCCCCCCCCCCCCCCACCCCCCCCCCCCCCCCCCCCCCCCCCCCCCCCCCCCCCCCCCCCCCCCCCCACCCCCCCCCCCTCCCCCCCCCCCCCCCCCCCCCCACCCCCCCCCACTTACAGTAGCCCTAACCTGCTGTATAAGCGGGGCCCTACAGTAGCCAGGAACCTAACCTGCTGTATAAGCGGGGCCCTACAGTAGCCAGGAACCTAACCTGCTGTATAAGCGGGGCCCTACAGTAGCCGGAACCCTAACTGCTGTATAAGCGGGTGCCTACACGTTTGCCAGGAACCTATGTGCTGTATAAACAGGGCCCTACAGTACCCAGGAACCAAACCTGCTGCATAAGCGGGCCCTACAGTACCCAGGAACCAAACCTGTTGCATAAGCGGGCCCTACAGTACACAGGAACCTAACCTGCTGTATAAGTGGGCCCTACAGGAGCCAGGAGCCTAACCTGCTGTATAAGCTGGGCCCTCCTGTATTTCTCTCAGGGTATATATACACTGAAAAATGTATTACTGTCAGGGTATATACACTGAGAAGTGTATTACTGTCAGGGTATATACACTGAGAAGTGTATTACTGTCAGGGTATATACACTGAGAGTTTAATTCAGTGGTTCCCAAACTGGGGGTAAATTACCCCCTGGGGGTAATTTAACCATTTTTGGGGGGTAATGGAGGGGTGACAGAAAAAAAGTTATGAATTCTGAAAATCAAGAAAACAATGCGGTACCCGGTATGAGGATTATTGTTAACTTTGTCTTAGTATATAAAGTTGTAAAGTAAACCTATTATAAGTAAGTAATAAAGTTAACAAATAACAATAAACATCAAAACTAATATACAGTATTAGAAAAGAAGAAATATATGCTAAGTGTGTGGAAACCCAAAAGTATTTTGAAAAGTATGCTTCAGGACAAAAGTCACTCAGTAGCCCAGATCGACCTGTCCAGTACGCGTCACTCACTTCCTGGGGCTGCCTCTATTCACACTGTCATTTATCTGTGAGCATCAGCCGAGGTAGACATAAGCTGGTATGTATGTGTACTGCCCTGTGCAGTATATAGTTAGTATTTACCCACTGTTACTGTGAATTTGTAGCTATTATTAATTTTATATATAATGTATGTGTGGTTCTTACGTTTTCAATGGTTTTGCTAGGATTAGCAGAGTATGCGAGGCTGTATACGTTCACGTTTAGCCATATATATCAATAATAACAACATTTTGTGAAAGGGGTAACATGCTTTATGTGGCATGTTAAATTGGGTAACAAGCTGAAAAAGTTTGGGAACCACTGGTATAATTTGATCCCTATTTTGCATGGATCAAAGTATTCTTGTCTGCTGGTGAGGTGACCGAGCAATCTTCACCACCCTCGTGTAGTTGATAGTCTTCAAACCCCTTAACCAACCAACCAAGCTCTTTATATTTCACTGAGTAGTTGTGTTTATCTTACATTATGACAGCTTCCAATCATCCCCTGCTTGCACCGACGCTATGCTAGGTGCCAGCACCGACGCTATGCTAGGTGCCAGCACCGACGCTATGCTAGGTGCCAGCACCGTCGCTGCCACCCTCAACATCCTCAAAATCATAATCATAATAATCATAACCTTCATAATCATAATTATCATCGTCAACACAAAAAATATGAGGTCATCCCAAGGTGTCACTTACCCTTGTAGGTTTAGTGCTTAGTTTTGAATGTAGTAGTAATAATAATAGTAATAATTATGGTAGTAGTAATAATAATGATGATGATGATGATAATAATAATAATAATAATAATAATAATAATAATAACAATAACAGAAATGGTACTTGTACTCACCTCGAAGTACTCCTTGACGGGGATGTTGTTGTCAAGAAACTCCTGGGCCAGTGGTTCATTGCTACAGTACTCGGCATGTTTGTCGAAGTCTCTCTCCTGTGAGGGATAGGAGGAGCTGGTTAGTGGCTAGCTGGTGCAGCTGGACAGCCAGAGATAGTGCCTAGCTGGTGCTACTGGATAGTCAGAGATAGTGGCTAGTTGGTGCATAATGGTAGTCAGAGATAGTGGCTAGATGGTGCAACTGGATAGTCAGAGATAGTGGCTAGCTGGTGCAGCTGGATAGTCAGAGATAGTTCCTAGATGGTGAAGAATGATATAGGGGCTAGTTGGTGCACCTGGATAACCAGAGATAGTGGCTAGCTGGTGCAGCTGGATAGCCAGAGACAGTGGCTAGATGGTGTAGCTGGATAACCAGAGATAGTGGCTAGCTGGTGCAGCTGGATAGCCAGAGAGAGTGGCTAGATGGTGCAGCTGGACAGCCAGAGATAGTGGCAATTTGTTGTAGAATAGTGATATTGCGGGGTTTGGGCCCAGGAGATTGCCGGCATGCAAAGGGTGATCCCCGCAAATCCGCAAGCTGGAAATCAGACAAATTCGGCCCGTACTGAACAAAAGATCCGAAATTGGACGGAAATTTTGCTTAGTTTCCATTTTAATTTTTGGGGATAAAAATGTGAAATGTTGCGCCAGGTTTAATGTTTTACACAGTACAAATGTCAGTCCGTCCAGGTGAGGCGATAGTAGGTAAAGATGATAGGGGAATGAAGAAAAATGATAAAAAGGAAGGGGTGAAGAAAGGGAAGGTTAATGAGGGGAGAGAGGAAATACCCCCCAAAAAACCACCGACACACACACATACACAAACAAAAAAACACCACCACATAACAAACAAAAAACAAACACAACACACAATACAAAACAAAAACAAAACACCCACAAACAAACAAAACAAAACACACACACATACACAAACAAAAAAACAACACAACATACAAAACAAAAACCCACAACACCCATAAAAAACAAAACAAAAAAACCACCCAACACAAAAAAAAACAAACACACCCCAATCCCAAAAACAAAAAAAAAAACACACACACACCACACACCACACAATACCATGAAAACCAAAAAACACAAAAAAACACCCACAATACAACACACACCAAACTTCCTCTCGTCCGGGAAAACATTTATCCCCCCAAAACACAATTAAATTCCCCTAAATTCCCCGGGTAATTCCCTTTCTGTCCCCGCTGATGAAAAATGGAAAAAAATCAGTTTCTTATTTTTGTTAAAAAAAAATCAGCTGGTTCATCTGATATTTATCAGGCAGCCCTCTTCTCTCTCCTCTCTCTTTTTTTTTTTTTTTTTTTTTTTTTTTTAAAAGGGTTTGACAAGGTTAAGGATCCCTAGCTTTATTGACAAGCGTTTTCAGGTTAAGGGGTTCCCTAACTTTTTTGGGAAGCTAGACTGTTCCCACATCAGCTCATTTAACATTTTTTTTATGGGTACAAGTGGAACAGATGAAGTTGGAGCCTCTGTGGGCCCGCATTTTATTTGATCAAGTTTTTTTTCGTTGACATCATTTTGTTAAAAAGAATGTGTTCCTACTCGAGTCTCCCGGGTAGTATATCTCATGGTGATGTTTGGAGAAGGGGCAGCCAGAGTGAAGTGCCTTTCTGCCCGTCTTGTGCTAAAAATTGTTTCACGCTGTCCCCGAAGGGATCCCAAATGTGGTATTTTGGGGAAAAATTGGTTGTACAAAACGTAAGGGCCCCCACATCCCTCCCATTTGAAGGCTCTGTGAATGAAGATCTACCGGTGGGGGCCGGGGGAGAGAGGACGTCTTGCTTGTTCTTCTCTGTCAAGCGTGCAGATGGAGGGGGGCAGGCAAACCCAAAAAAAGTGGAGCATATCAAGGTGTAGCGTACT